ATGCCAAATTTTAAGCCTATTTGACTTGTAGAAATAGCTGGTTAGAATACATCCGGTGTGTTTATAAAATTCGGTTGTAAAAAAGTTATAAAAAGAGTTTATGATTTGTACATTTTTTCACTTTGAAATTATGGTAATGTTAATTTCATAAAAATTTTTTAGCCTTTTTAGTATAAACAAAGGACTTTTAACTTTGTTTCTAAGGTTTATTATATTTTATGTTATCCGTATTATCCTTTGCCCACAATTATAATGTCCGTATAAAGGATAATTTTTCTGCATGCCATAAGTATATACATAATATGAAAGTGTATTGTTGAATGAAAGGTAAATTAAAATTAAAGTTTTTAGGTTTGTAGGCATACATTGCATCAATATTATTGTGTTGTGTATTACATTTATGTGGTTTGGTTATGATCATTTCATTGAAATAAAGTCATGTGACTGATACTGAAAATGATATATGAAAGGTGGAAATTTCAAAAACAAAAAAAAAATAAATTATTTACAAAAGTTGAAAAATTTTCGTTGAATATGCTTTATTTTGTTTTGTTACATTACAGAATACAGTGAAGTAAAAGAAAATTTAACAAATGATTTTTCGTGGTGTAGGAGTCAAAAAGGGTCAAGGAGTCTCAAGATACGTGCAGAGATAAAGCCTGAAACTTAGAGGTTACGATCCCTTCCCGCACCAATCCCACTTATTGTATGCTATCACTCCCAATTCCCCTTGGGCCGGATTAAAGTGGTATGCGACCGTGCCGATAATCGATTTGGCTGAGATTCCAGACTAATAGCCCAGTCACAAATGGACCATTCAGACACCGGAAAGAAATTTGACCAAGCCAGTTTCCAGAAAAGATGCTGGAACATTGCTGAAAACGAATCCAGTGCAGAAAGAGGTTTCTTGGGTTCTGCTTTTTTTCAGCGCGCTATGAAATTAGCGAATAAAAATGCTAAGGGTCTTGGCCAGTTTATGAGGAGCTCGGGCTGGTTCTAATAGAAGGGAAAGAGAGATATCCTGCGGTATCACAACGAGCCGAAATGGCCTAATGTACCCTTTGAAGGGTCGCGTACCTACCCACCTACCTATTTCGCTTCAAGTATTCAATTTTCGAGAACTTACTGTTTTTTTATGATTTTCGCAACATGTTCAATGAAAATTAAAGTTTCCCGTAGTTGTCACTAACATAAACCTATATACATCATTATACATTAAATTTTATCCAAAACTTGACTCTTTTATGTCATATTCACACAATTATATGCAATATATATACATACTCTTAAATTCAGGTACTGAATCGTGTGTCTACTTCAAAATTTTAAAGGGATTTGAATATTATTTTTTATATATACTTATGTGCATACGAATGGGATGAGTAGTTCATAATGACAAGAGAAAAATTTTTAAATTAAATCTGATTTGCATAAACAAGTTTTCTCATTAGAACATCTACATATATGACTAATTTTTATACTTGAAACTCCTCTTTTTTATTTAACGTATATTACAATGTGATACGTTTATGTATATATGTATGTAAACTGTATATATAGAACAATATTCATGATAGAAGTAAGTATATATGGTAGGAACTTTTACCTTTAGACCTAAATTATATATTGAATAAGAGCAAAAGTATAGACATGAAACACCGTATAATGTTTTAGTTCTAGTTTAAGAATATTAAGATATAAGAATAGGAAATGAGAAATAATTAGTTAAACAAAAACAAAGTTCTTGTCGGATAATGGCTATCTATCATTTTGATATTATTTATATAAATGTGCGTGTGTGTTTATAACAAACAATATAAAATTCGTGCATATCCATTAGTTTATTAGAAAAAAAGAGAAATATAAACACATCACATGATTTAATTTTTGGTTTTTTCGTCATTTGTTTAAAAAGGTTAATGTATAGGGTTTATTAAAGGACAAGTTATAGTTATAAAAATTTAAAATTTTCCTGTGTGTGAGTAAAAGTGATAATACTATTTTGTTATACAAATTGCTGAGTTATGAATTTGAAAACTCAATTGACCATAACTCAATAGTTCCTAATTATAACCTATGTAGTTACGGACTATTGTGTCCCAAGATTGACATTGTCGTGTTCTTCTTCCCCTCAACCCCCCTCCCTTTCAGCAAGAGGTTTGGATCCTTTGAGGCTCTTTGAGGTGACTTTATTTACCGATGACTTCCCGAAGATGGGAATGTAGCCGGTGCTGCAGTTTTCTGCTTGACACATAGGGTATCCGGAAGGTCGATAGGGGGTTTTTTGTTTTAGATTTTTTATTATTATATTTTAAGTTATCAACTAGAGTATTTAGGAAAAATATTGTGTAATTAATATTATCTTAATGTTAAAAAATATTTTTACTTTTACTTTTAATATGTAGGTATTTCGAAAATTAATTAAAAACTAGTCAATGCCTACTTAGAAGGTATCTAATGCAATCAAAAACCTATATGTACTTAAAGATAAGGTGAAATTTTTCATACAAAAATATCCAAAATAATATGATAAAATATCGATATTTTGCACATACTAAATAATATTACCTTAATCCCTATGGGAAATTTTCAATATATAAATTATGATTCTCATAATATACTACATAAAAAAGTTTTGATAATATTAAAGATAATAAAATAATAGAGTATTCAATTTAATGTATAAATGTGTATGTTTTAAATATAAATAATGTTCAATTCGTATGTAGCATTAGATTATATAAGATATATATTGCATGAGATATATATATATATAAATGTATATATATGTTTGTAAATTACCACAATTATTTACATAAAATATCCAAAGAGAAAAGTCTTTAAAAGACTTTAAAGTAATTTTCTATAAAATTTCCCATAAAATATTCTATATATTCATAGGTATATAAAGTGTTAACATTTTGTACTTTAATTTTTTGACCATTATTTTAAACTTTTATTAAGAATGTTGTTAAAATATGCTTTGTAAGTTCAAAAAGGATACAATTTTATTATACATATTTAAATACATGTTTGTATACAAACAAATACATATTAAAGATTTATAGTACACTATATAGGTACATAGTAAATTTTCGAAAAAGACATTTGATCCGAACTTAAACAACAAACGAAATTCAATATCATTTAATTGTCAAAATTTCAATGTTATAGAATCAATTAAAGCATATAATGTAGCAATACATATAAAGAATGTGTCAAAAAATTTTAATCAAAAAAAGGAAAATATTTATACATATGTACTACATACATTCACGTACGTATATAAAAAATAAATATAAAAACATTGAATTTCGTATAATATATGGTACATAACCTTATATTAACTTTGGACCTTTTATGTAAAATAATATTTTCAATATAATACGTATACGTAAAATTGTATACGTAATTTGTATGCTTATTTATTTTGAGTTTATTAAATTGAATTGCATAGATATATAGAGAATTTGAGGTCTTCAAAGAGAACATTTTCCTTATAAAATGGTCGTGTCATCAAAGAGATAATAATAAATTTATTATTAGTTTTTGAATGATACAAGTTATGTACGTATTATAATTTAAATAAGGTGGATCAAAGGTAAAACGAAAATTAAATAAAATTTTTAGAGCAGTGATTACTTAAATCAAGATGAAATTTTATTATAAATTTCATTAAAAACGATATAAAAAAATTATACATAGTTCGGTAATAATATTACAAAGTATGATATCAAATAGGGTTTACATATGCGATTTTCATCACACAGATTAAATCGTATTATCTTCATTCAGTAATCAATCTCCTCCGCTACAGTATGGAGCTGTCTTGATTAACTTATTGAACTTGTCAGACGCAACCGGCTCACTCTGTGGTGGGTGACAAGACATGTGTGCTTAGTAGAGAATGAGGCAGTTGACGCGTTGGCAAGTAGGCGAGCTTCTGCGGAGTCGCGCCATATACCTTCTGGTGGAGATCGTTGCTCTTACCCGCTGGAGAAGGGCAATACTGGGGGAGTTTGCTCTTATGGCGACGGAGATGTTTTCGCGGGGCCTTAAAAATTTCTTAATTTCATTAGAGCGGTTGAACAAATTTGAAAATCTTATCTTTGTTAATTTACGATTATTTCTGAAAGAAATTTAATACTTGCTATTATTATTTATATAATCGTAAGTTTTTATAACAAAATTTTAAGTGTAAGCAGATGAAGTTTACATAACTCATAAATAATATGTAATTGCAATTTTAAAGGATGGTAGAAGCAACGGATTAAGTTATTATTTTTAATGTTGTTGTCATTATTGTAATTAAAACAGTATAATTTAGTTTGAAGCAATATAAACTCCATAGAGTCTCATTAATTCCCTTTTTTTGTTTTATTTTATATAAATACCTTACGTTGAGCTTATTGAATGTCGAACCGTCATTTGCTAATAATATTATATTTAATAGTGTAAAATTTTTTTAATTATACACTATCAAACAAAATTTCAATATTAACGAAATGCATTATAATTTCAATGAGAAGTATGGAAATAGACACACGGTATGATATCATACTTAAATAATTTCAAAGATGTTTAAGAGACATTATCAGTGTAACTTTGTATATTGTGTTGACTTTGTTTATTTTAATAAGAAATTAATTTAATTTTTAAATTCATTATAATTTTAGAGTTTATCAAAACGAAATAAATAGTGCAACTAATAATTGCTTAGAAGGAGGAATTCCTCAATGAGGATATTGAAATTAAAATGTCCTTGATTACAAAAAAAAATATGACTAGTTCATAAAGACATTGAAAAACTTTTTATTTGCTTAATAATTTTCTTACAAAAGAAAATTGGTCATAAATTTTTTATGTATCAAAAAAAATCGGCGTCTTTTGTTCGATAAACATTTAGAAGAAAAACGAAATATCCATGAATTCCATGCATTCATTTTAGCATTCATTCCAACTACAGTGAATTTCGTCATTTTAATTAAAACAAAAGCGCAATGAAAAATTTTGCAGTTTTAAAACTTTTTATTGGAATTTTTTCATTGAGTTTTGAAAAATTTCTATTAATAGAATCTAAAGTAGAGTTTGTCTCGTCAATTCAGAGTTTATTGAAAAATTTGGATAATCCGGTTCGGATTACGGCAATGATTTGCTGGAACTACAGTTATACTTCATTGTAATATTTTAAAATTTTAAATTGTAATATTAAATATTTTTAGGTACTAGGATTAAATTTACGTCAAGATTTTTAAAATCTAAATATTTTAATGAAGAACGATCGCATCAATTTGCTATCACAGAATCAAGGATTGAAAATTTTCCTCAAGTAATCGAAGAGCATCAACAATTAATTATTGTGGATTTGGATTGCAAAAATACTCAAAAACTTTTGCAGGATGTTAATTTTTCATTGATTTCTATAGAACGTTCAGTAACTGTTTTCAATTTATTTTGTTATAGGTTGGATACAAAATCACCCGTAGATTTAAATGGATTGCTTTGAGTGAGTTTTATGAGTCGGATCATAAAAATTTAAAAGAAATTTTAAATAAATTGCCAATCTTAACAAATAGCGAATTTTATTGTGTTCTGAAAACTCTCAGCAATAAGGAAGAGACTTCTTTAGGTGCGAACAATCGAACTGAGAAGGAATTTGAGTTTTCTATTTTTCAAGGTATGATTTTTACATTAAAATATCAGAGAATTAAAATATGGAGAATAATTTATTGTTATTGCAGTTTATAAGCCTGCACTTGATAAAAGCTTAATTTTTGAAAATTTAGGAATTTTTGCTAACAATATCCTATTTGTTCAACGGAAAGTTAAAGAATTGTCAATAAGAAGAAGAAATTTACAGCAAACAAAGTTAAGAGCCTCTTTAGTAGTAACTAATAATGATACTTTTAAACATTTGGAGGATTATAGGTAATATAAAAAAATTGAGTATTATTGATAATACTCAAATTGATTAAAAGACATTGATTTATTAAAATTTTAGAAATCGGCACATCGATACGATCAGTAAAGTTTGTTATTTTCTTACAAATTATTTATCGGATTTTGTAAATGGAACCTTGGAGTATAAATTTGTGAATTCTTGGGGTTATAAAGATGAAAATACAAGTAAATGGAGTGGAATGATTGGTGATTTAACAGAAAATCGTTCGGATATTGGAGCTTCAGCATTATTTTATACACCAGATCGGATTAAATATATTGATTATATAGCAATGCCCACACCTACAAGATCAAAATTTGTTTTTAGATCTCCAAAATTATCATTTACGGAAAATGTGTACTTGTTACCGTTTGATAGGGTACGTGATGAAATTTTTAATGAAAAATTTTTAAAAATCTTCTTGTTATTTTAGTTTGTCTGGTATTCTCTATTTGGATTGATGGCCGTCACATCAATTGTTCTTTTATCTGTTACTTGGATTGAACGTAAAATAATTATATCTGATAATCAGGTAATAATTACAATTTAAATTAATTAATCTAAGTGATTTAATTATTTTTTTTTTTAGATCGAGAACGACTCGTTTGTATTGAGGCCTTCGCTTTTAGATGTATTTATAGTAGTTTTTGGCGCAAGTTGTCAACAAGGTTCCGCTGTTGCACCGATGACTTTCTCAGCACGATTGGTTATGATGTTAACATTTATTACTCTGATGTTTTTGTATACAAGGTAAGTATATATTATTGAGGAAATTGTTTTTGATTAAAACATAATTAAAAATCGCATTTCAATTGAACGCTTGTGAATTATTGGAATAATAAAATATTTTTAGTTACTCGGCAAACATAGTCGCGCTACTTCAATCTCCATCGAATAGAATAAAAACGCTGGAAGATTTGTTGAATTCAAGATTAAAATTAGCAGCTGATGACACTGTTTTCAATCATTACTATTTTCGGGTAACAACACTTCTATATTTAATAAAATTTTATAAAAGTGAAATTTTCATATTTTTTACATCTAGCATGCTACAGAAGAAACTCGTAAAGCGATATATGAGAAAAAAATTCTTAATCATGATGGCACTGAGAACTTTTTACCAATTGCTGATGGAATTGAAAAAATTCGTAATGGATTATTTGCGTTTCATTTTGAAACAGGAGTAGGATATAAACTCTTAGAAGAATTATTTTTAGAGGATGAAAAATGTGGTTTACAAGAAATTCAATATTTACAAGTTGTTGATCCATGGTATTCTATACAAAAGAATTCATCATATAGAAAACTATTTAAAATTGGGTAACAAATTTTTAATTCTAATTTGTTTTCTAAAATATCTCACTATCAAAAAATTGCTTTTTTTTTTAGTATGATGAGAATAAATGAACATGGACTACAACAACGTGAAAACTTTGCTTTATATACGAGAAAACCAAAGTGTGTCAGTCGTGGTGGTAACTTTATAACAGCTAGTTTAGTTGATACAAAACCTACATTGTTAGTATTGCTGTGGGGTTATTTGATAGCTTTTATAATATTGTTGATTGAACGTATTCTTCATAAGATTCACTCAAAAATTCAAAATTATCACATTGAAAAATTTAATGATTAATAGTTTTAATGAACGGAATTAATTTTACATTTTAGTTGCAATAAAATTTGTATACTTAGTACAACTACACATTTTGGGTTTTTGACACGATTTTTTAAAAACAAATATAGAGAATATCAAATTTAATTTAGTAGTAAACAGTTTTTTTAAACCAAAAATAAAAGTATAATTTTTAAAATATTTTATGGATATTATGGTTTAAATTCTAACTTACTTGTTGTTTAAGTTTTTATTGTTTTTATTCATTCGATGGCCTTAAGAGATCTATTGTACTTGCCAAAAATAGGGTCTTGTTTATATAGCGAATATATAAGAATATATTATTTAAGAGAAACTAATAATATTATTCAAGGGAATGTTGGGATGGCCCTCGTTTAGGTTTTTGGAGGTAAAATTAAAAGAGTAGGTTATTGACTAATATTGTGCTTTGGTTTTAAAAGGAATGGCATAAAACAAAAAAATTTTAATTTCTACGCACATCAAGATTGTACGTTGTTTTAGCATTTGGTCTTCATCAAATTCCATTAGGATATTAAAATAAGAACATCAAAGGATTACTTTTTTTGAATAGACTTAATTTTTTTTCTTTTCAAGTAAAAGCAATTCATTTCTTTTTTTGTACATTATTCTAATAAAACAAAAATTTGAATTTTTCTGAATAAAAAAAAGAAATTACCTTCTACATACTAGTTGTGAGCTATGTGTACTTAGCACTATATTCATAACACAAATGCATGTATATTATGTATAGATTTTTTATATTCATAATAATAATTCCAATTGAAATGCATAATAATAATTGTAAATTACTGCCATAGTAATCTAAATTTAAAATAAAGTGTAATTATAGTAAATGAAGCATCATAAAAAAAAAAAAAACAAATCTTCTGTCGTAAAGCCTTTTAATATGATGGTAATCCAAATTTAATATCAGTAAATTATATTCGTACATATACATAGTTATTAGTTATTTATGGTAAAATAATTAAATCGGCAGGATTTAATGGAAGCTTTATATATTATTGAAATTAAAAAAACCAATTTGTTTTATATCAAAATTATTTTTAAATTTTAACATTTTTTTTATATATGTAATAAGAATTGCTGTTGTTAGTAAGGCATTATAAATTGTAAGTTTAGGTTCTCTATTTGTATTATTGTTAATACAAAAATAAGGTATTCTTCTAAACGAATAGTTAAAAAAAATGTTTTTAAAGGAGTCTGGGGTGCTAACTCTTACTTAAATGTTTTTTAAATGTCATGAAATTCTCGTTTATGTTAATAATCACGTCTTTTATTCAGAATTTTATAATTTAAAAGTTTCAATAAAGCTTTAGAAATACAAATGAATTTTAAATTTAGAAAAACGTGTTAGTTGTTAAGGTTAATTGAAGGTGAAATTATATTTTTAAAAATTTTAGAAGTTGTAAATTCTAATCATTGTTATAGATTTTTTTCCTTAAATTGTTTTTGGAATGTTTTTATATGTTAATTTTTTTTTTCAAATTTGAATACAAATCTCATTAGTTTGTTTTTAATTTATTTTTTGTTTTTAAGGACGAAATGGTATACAGGCTTATGCTAGATTTAATTATACATGGGGAATAATTTAATATTTTGAGATTACGTTAACTGTATTGTACATTAATCATATTAGTGATACTGTACCATAGTATAAGAATCTATTTTGTCACCTTTAAGTAGAAATAAGGCTTTGCCCGAAATATTTTTCCACATTTGTAATGAAATTGAGTAACTTCTCTGATGAAACATTTCAGAACGATGAATTTGAACTGTAAATCTATCCCGACAGTGCCTTTTTTTACGAATGAAATCTCCATAGTCGTTGGGAAGATAAATTAGAAATCATAGATTGGCATCTATGATTTTAGATAAACTTTCTTTAAAAAAATTTTTTAAGTTAAACACACTCATGTAGAATCGAACTGCATTTAACATTAAGATTATTTTGAGAATTAATTTTGATTTCATTTTAATTTTGACTTAAATTTAACTATATAGACTAGCACCCTATACATTTTATAGGCATGTCGTATTGCATATGTACATACGTATATTACAACATTATTTTCAAATTTAAAAGCCAATTCAACAAATTAATATCAAAATGAAATAAAAAATGTTCCTATATTAAGAACGTAACATACAAAATAATAGTCATAAAATTATAGTCACGTATTATATTCAAAAGCTACAAAAAAAAAACTTTGAAGAAAAAATATGGGTACTCATATTAAAAAAATCCTATAGAGCATAAGAAAATGTACAAAATTTTAAAAATTTTATACAATAATGAATTACTTGGAACGAAACAGGACTAAAAAAGAATATGTATTCAATAGAATATGGGGAGCATATCCGAATAATAATGATAGACGGAAAATATGAATAAATAATTGTGACAACGATGATGATTATTATTTCGGTTATGGTTTTCATCATCGAATATTATGTAAGAATATGTTAAAAAAAATTTTTGGATTTTTTTATTTACATTCACAAGAAATCATGAATTTTCTTCATATTTTGATTAAAAAATTTTAATAGTTATGTTGTTTTATAATATTTTATAAATGATTTTTGTAATATACATATAGATTTACAACGTTGGTTTGCAAATATTTGTGATTTTTGAATATCGAAGTGACTTCGGTCTAATGCATACGACTAGTTGTGTGATTTTTGGGTAATATTTCATTTTCAACCCTGATGTTTTTCTGTTTGAAAACATTAGCTGTACTAAAGTCTACACTGGTATTCTTTTTTATTCAATCTCATATATTTTGTTGCACAAGAATTAAAGGGAAATTGCTTCCACAACTTAAATCCAATATTTTCTTGTTTTCTCTTTTTTATTTCGGTTGAATCTTTAACAATTTCTTTTGAGACAAATTGTTAAATCTGCATAACTAATTGAAATTTGACAAGGTTACAAGTTTTAAATATTTTCTTTTTGCTGTAAATATATGGTAATTTTTATTTGTGTGTAAAATTTATGAATAAATGAGGTGGATGGATGTAGATTTCCAAATAAAATAATTTTTGAGGGTATATGAAAATTACCAAATAATAAATTATATTTTAAAATCCATACGTTATGATTTGCTGCATTTTAATTTTCGTACACTCTTACAATAATATACATATATGTCATAGTTTGAAGTAGAGTTTCAAATCGGAACCAAATTCTTAAACAAGTCAAATTTAAATGCAGTATTGATTAAGGATTCTATTATATTATACATTTATGTTAATCAGAATTCGAACGCGAGCCGAAAGAAAAAGTTAATTTTTTAGAGGCTATTCTTGCTCAAGCATTAAACTTCTTCGTGTCGATATCAAGAAGGTGTACTTGTTGTGATATGTCTTGCTTCGTATCAATATTTGAGATTTAAATTGAATGCTATGTGAAATTGTTAACTATGGGGAAAAAAAACTTAAACCGCAATTCCAACTGACCTGAATTCGAACCTTAACATAATAAGTTTTAATAATTGAATAAGTACATAGTTTCACTGGTTCCAAAACTATTAGTACCGGTTCAAAACTATTGTTAAAGGATATTTCTTTGAAAAGGATAATATTTTTAATTTCTGTATTTTAATCATTAATCGTGAAGTTCAACTGCTATTGATTTGTTTTTCACATATACATATGTAACTATACATAAATAATGTTGATTTACAAAAATACTATCCATTCACATTTTTATGTACATGAAGATTTATTTCATCTATATATTTTTTTTTTTTAGTGTAGTTCAACAATATTTGAAAGGGATATCAAAAAACTTTATAACCATAAAATTTATCAATTTTAATCATTACGAATTGTCATCATTGATGAAAATACAAAAGTGATGGATATAAAAAAAAAAAGCCGAACAATACCATGAAACTTGTTAAATATTTATTTCGAATTTACAACAATTTCCAATTGAATATTGAGACATAAAATCAGAATAGAATATAAAAAGTTTAACCGTACTCTATATAAAAGAAATTATAAATGCATGAAGGACCTTTGTTGTAATAAAAAGCAAAACAAGTGTTGAAAACGAATGAACAACAATAGCAAAGAGTGTTTCACATGATGGCATACATATGAATGTATGTGAATGTAATGTATTACTTGTTTGAGGTATGTATATTATAATATGTATGTATATTATAATAACATTAGCAATACAAATCAATTCATTTACTTTTTCATAACTAAAATGAAATGTACAAATTGTATGAAATTATATGTACATATATATACATGTATGTATATATATATGAAAATGCAAGTATGTCTAATATTCCATTTTTTTTTTTAGTGTTATCCTATTATTTTGTCGAATAGGAGTATAGTTTGCCGTGTTGAAATTTGAAATAAAGTTTAAGTTCTACCCGTGCGATAAAGGATGAAGTTCCGAGAGAAGACGAAATTTTCAGTCTTTGCTAGCTAGGCAGAATCTAAGTATGATCGGAGATCAATTGTTTCTACCTACTTGCAGAGTCATGCTTTAAAGATCTTCGCGGAAGTCTTGACCGTTTCTTTTAAAATTTCGTTTTACGATAAGTTGATATGAAATAACTATAATGTTTCTTTTTGAATAATATAACAATATGATTTCTCTGAGGCTTGAGGTTTACAGAAGAACTTTTGCAATGTTTATTTTAGGCTTTTTCAAAATAGTTTATTCGGCATTATGTACAACAACGTTAGATGACCATCGATCAGGATATAAAAGTTTATTTCGGACCTGAATACTCTGCATGTCGTAATTTTTTGGACCTCTCCCGATTGCTATTTTCGTATATTTTCAGTTTTACAACAATTTAAAATTATGTGTGCAATATTTTATTACAAACAGCAACACTTTTTTTACATTATTATATGAAAGAAATATAATTTTTCTCTTTGTTATTAATACACCTATGAACATACATATATAAACTATTCAAATATACAAAAAATATAAATTACAAAAATTGTATATATCGATTTCGAGATCACTATTATTATTTGAATTAAC